TAGTGTCTCTGTCAGGTCCAGGAAAATTTAATTCTAACTAATTAAAACAAATGGTTTCGGAGTTCCCAGGACATCGATTTGCTAAAATGCCTTTAACCCTACCTAGACCGGGCTTTTTTTGACATGGGGGGACGGGGGGGGGGCTCTTTTGACCCCCCTAAGAACTCGCAAACGGTATGTCGTATGACCACCAAATTTTCAGAGAGTGGTGTACTAGTAAAAATTTATCATATCTACAATTTTTATATCGTTATGACGTAATGTGACGTCATTATGACGCCATTAATGTGATTTTATTGGCCAAAACCGTCTAAATAGGTTTTTCCCTGAAAACTAAATGGTATTCAACATAACTGTACCAAAAGTGTTTATGACAGAATATTATGGTGTACTAAGTCTTATGTTGCCCAAAGCAACACCGGTGACGTCATAAAATGACGTCATGCATATTTAAGATATCCGCCATCTTGGATCATCAATCTTGAATTTTCAAAAATGTTTTTTTTTCATCATAAAGCCTAAAATACATTGTAAACATACTAAAGACCTTCATTTAAACCTTTTTTGGAAAAAGAAATGGAAGTATTGATGAAATTTTAATGAAAATAACCTGTCTATACCTGTTCTAATGATATGGTCCGCCATCTTGGATTTTGGCCAATGACGTCATTAAATTAGCATAGATTATGCATATTTGATGATAAAATTTACATAAAATTATGTGGGATGTTATTAATATTAGAAACCATGAGTAACTTGACATAAAACCCCTAAAATTCTATTGTTGAAACAAAAAGTACTAAATTTAGCAAAGAATGCCTGTCAGAAACCCGTTGCCATGGCAACACAAAAATTCATTATCTTATTCCAATGATAGATAATTGTTGCCAACAATATTTTAGGAAAAGTCACCAAGTTTGGCCATTCTACGGCTAGCCGTTCAGACGCTAGGTGACATCAAAGTTGCCGCGGGCACTTTTAGCCCCCCCCCCGTGTAGGTAGGGTTAATGGACAGTATACTAATGTGGTGTAACTCTATTTCTGATTTCTTTTCTCTCTGTAATCAGCTCCTGCCTTTTTGCAGCAGTGTCACACATGAGCCGAGTCACAAAGTCCGGACTTTTCTTTCTTAATCAACTTCCTACTCTAGGACAGACACCAACAGGACCTCTCTCTCTCTCTCTAGATCTCCCCTCCGGTCTGACCTAGCCCTCGCATTCCTGGGCCAAACTATGTCAAACGCTTGGATTCCATCACATCTGCACCCGTATCTTCTGATTGAAACACTCTTTTCAATCACCATTCTAAACTCTAGGTTCTCATTAATCATAATTCACATTGTTGTAATACTGTTCCTGTGGATCACATGCATTATACAAAGCCTTAAAAAAAGGAAACAGACACTACTTGGGCATGTATCTCAAATATATCTCTCTTCACTAGAGTCTCCGTGGTCGTCACTCCTTTCCGGAGTAGACACCGCTAACTCTTAATAATGTTCACAGGAACAGACTAAATTGACTTCAAAGTGTCCCAACTACTGAACCATTAGTAACAACAACAACTTCTATGTTTGGTGCTCTAGAGCTCTACATACGGGAAAAGTTTTAACCACCCTATAACCAGGCGAGCACGTCGGCAGAACGTACTGCGCCTGCGCAGAACCCTGTATTTTCACTAATTCGGTGGATTTTTGGTTAACGTTGCATCAAAATTTTGCCTGTTGCAGAAAGTATCTTTTTCGACATAACATTTGGAAACCACAGACGAGATGTTTTCCTTATATGCGCGAATACAACCTTATATGAGACGTTCTACCGAAGTGTTATGTACAATACATTACGGGTTTCACGCAGGTGCAGTACGTTCTGCCGACGTGCTAACCAGGCGTGACCTATCGTAACACTACTAGTAATGGCAGTAGAGTCAATAAGCAATGCAAGAGAGTTCTATTGTCTCAAGCTCGGGACAGTGCATCTGCATTTGCACTGCCCTTTCCCGGGCTGCCTCCATCCCCCGACCTTCTGTAGTGACAGCTTCTCCTCAATCACGCGCTCTCTCGCTGCCGTGTCCACCGGTTTGGCGCCACCAAAGATGCGCCACTGGGACTTCCCCGGTGCTGGCAGGTGAGGGCTTCCAACTGGTTTCGTACGTGCGGCCAGCTGTAGTTTTCTTCGTTACTGAGCCTAGAATATACTTCCAGCGTCTGGTTCCCAGCATGGTTCCCAGTTAACAGCGCGCTTAGGTGGGGGGTACCGTGGCCGACAAGGACACACCTGCGTCGTCTGCGCGCACACCTGCGTCGCCTGCGCGCACACCTGCGTCGACTGCGCGTATACCTGCGTCATCTCTGCAAAGAGCTTCCTCGTCTGCGCACGAATACCTGCGTCGTGTCTGCCAAGAGCTTCCTCACGCCTGCACAGAAAGAGCTTCCTCGTTTGCGCACGAATACCTGCGTCGTGCCTGCCAAGAGCTTCCTCACGCCTGCACAGAAAGAGATTCCTCGGCGACCTCGCTGCGCGCAACGAAAGCTCGCTGCACGGAAGAATACGTGTCACCCCTGCCTTGTTGAAGAATGGACGGTCCCCTATTACAGGTCAAGGGTCACACCACCTAAAACAATTTTATTCCCGTCTTTTTCTGGGATTTTGTTGTGTGTGTCCCGTAATAAAATCACTTTTATTTTTATTCAACGTGTTTAAAATCATTTATTGCAATAGTGACGTGTTTACTAAACTAAAGTAATCATGAACAATTCTATTTTACTGCAATTGATAAATAGTGCAAGGGAGTAAAGATGCAAGGGCAAAGACCGGTACCTCTATAGGAATGGTACACCCAATATAGTGTTCCCTATCAACCTATTGCCACCCCTACAATCCAACATGCACTGGGGAATCGTGCCTGCTAACACATTTCCCCCCTCAAGTAGCCTCAGAATATCCCATTTCAACCCGAGTCAAATTCTCAAAGGCTTTGCGTTGGTCACTCCGCTCCCTCGCCATTAAACTGATTCTGCTCCCTCATGATTTTAAACACGTTGATAGGGTATTTTTTATGAATGAATAAAAATAAAAGTGATTTTATTACGTACGGGACAGACACAACAAAACCCCAGAAAAAGACGGGAATCAAATTGTTTTAGGTGGTGTGACCCTTGACCTATAGTAGGGGACCGTCCATTCTTCAACAAGGCAGGGGTGACACGTATTCTTCCGTGCACCGAGCTTTCGTTGCGCGCAGCGAGGTCGCCGAGGAAGCTCTTTCTGTGCAGGCGTGAGGAAGCTCTTGGCAGGCACGACGCAGGTATTCGTGCGCAGACGAGGAAGCTCTTTCTGTGCAGGCGTGAGGAAGCTCTTTGCAGACACGACGCAGGTATTCGTGCGCAGACGAGGAAGCTCTTTCTGTGCAGGCGTGAGGAAGCTCTTGGCAGACACGACGCAGGTATTCGTGCGCAGACGGGGAAGCTCTTTGCAGAGATGACGCAGGTATACGCGCAGGCGACGCAGGTGTGCGCGCAGACGACGCAGGTGTGTCCTTGTCGGCCACGGTACTCTCGTCCCTCTCCAGGGCCTGCTGCACAAACTTATGCAGTGCTTCTCCTTCCAGTCCCATCTTTTCCCCTGCCTCGATATATCCATCCATTTCTTTTTCTCTTAGCAACGGCTACTGACTTGTTTTGGCACTGACTTGAATCGGCCCGTCTTGCCTGCAGAGGTCTGTCTGGAATGTGACTGTCGAGTCCCATACAATGGATGACCACAGGTTACGTTGAGCACATGTGGTTGCACTTAAGACTGCATACACTCCCGGCTCCCCTTGTTTACACAATTTAACTTCTCTGGGATGACAACCACTTCTAAAATCCATATAAACAGTCCATCTAACTCACGGTTGACTCTTCCTTGACTTCTCTTCCGGTACTTAGTCTTCTACCAACTACCAGAACCTCACCTCACCTACCCCTTGACGTAGTGTGGGGGGGTACCATCGTTGCATTTGGGGCACAATAATGAGACCAATTGTACGTCCAAAATAAATGTACACAGCAAAATACGTACAAAATAGATGTCTCTAAGATTTATACTTCTGAGACCGCGTACAGTTTTTATAATAGAATTCGTATATCCTATTATTTAGAGGGGTACGGTTATGCCTGCCAGATTCTATACGTAAAAGATAATATCCAGTATGTCGACCTAAAACAATTAACATGTATATAACGTGCGTGTTGCTCCTACAAATGCGTATGGAAGACATGTCTGTACGCAACACATACGCAGTTTTTTTTTATTTTTTATTTTATTCATTCACATAGAAAAACGTACAGGACATAGTGATGCCGCACTCAAGTGGAAAGCACTTATTTTGACGGCACCACTGAAATAAATACATACGATAAAGAAAACAAACAAACGCAACTTTAAGACAGGCAAGAACAGTACATACAGCAAAATTCAAGAGCGCAGGTCCGGTTCCCCACTCAATGATAAATGATGGCAAAGAGGACACAGTACATAGATAACAAAGGGGGAAATTGAAATCTTTTAAAAACGTTCTGATGTGGTGATGAAGTTTTGGGTAAGTGATAATATATTGGAGTTAACAACTGATGAGAATGCGCAGTTAGGATCTGCAGAAGTGTGACAGGTCCCTACGATTCCAAACTAAAAAAAATACCATTAGGCCATTTTGATTTGGTTATATGGCTGACATCCTATGGGAACCACAAAATTGATGCGAGCGTACGAATAAAAAACGTTTTGCAAAAAATGTTATCTTATTATGAAATCTACGTGGTCATGAAGGCTGAACAAATGTATGGTATGGCGAATATACTGTTAAATTCATTTCTTTAAATTTTCTTTTCTTTCGTTTGATTTTGCCATTCTTGACAATGGAATAGTTTTTTTTCGCAACTTACGGTAGATATTTGCTCATTTTGCAACTATTTTACGTGTACGATTTACACTATGGTTGAAAACTTTTTTTTGGAAACGGCAAAAAATTCATGCGCGCGTGGATGTCATCCATATAATCAAATCAATATGCGGCCTTACGTAAACTTAAACTGTCTTTTAACGGAAACGGCTGTGTTAGGTCCGTTTCAGTGGTTGGGTTTGTCACAGTCGTTTCGTCCAGATTCTATCTTTCGATTCAAACTTAAACCACTAGTAGTACTTTCTCCGTCCGTTGTTTTTGATGAGTTTCTTTGTGTTCTGAACGTCTTTTTTTTCACACGTCGAAGCGCCCTTCTCCTTTGTAGTGCCTAACACCGATGTCGTTCTTTTCACGACCTTGGTGCTGTTCGTGGTTGTAGTTCCGCTACTCCGCCGCGAGGAGGCGCTCTTTGATCCTGCTGACTTGGAGCGGCGACGGCCGAGGCAGAAGATGAGCGTTACACTCAGGAGGAACAAGGTCAGGAGAACGACAAAATGTAGCGGGACAGAAGCTCCTTGGCTGGACGGTAGGTTTGTGTTGTTCTGAGGACAATAAAAGAGTTAGATTTAAAGGTACCCAAATTGATTTTAAGGGCAGTTTAATTAACTGGATTTTCAAATCCAAGTTTTCTGGTCATTCCATTAGTATACTAAGTTCAATCAATCCTGTCCTATAGCATACTAATATCTGTGAGGCAAAAATGTGATGAAGCTGACATAAAATGGTGGCATTTTTTTTATATCGTAGGCTAGTTGTAGCTATTTATTGGTGGTACCCAAAACTACAGAAACTCCTCAGTATGTAGCTAGTGTTTTGGCTAAGGCCATGTTGATTTGATTATATGGATGACATCCGCGCGCGCATCAATTTTCGGCCATTTCCAAAAAAAAAGTTTTCAACCATACTGTAAATCGTACAAAACAGTTGCAAAATGAGCAAAAATATACCATAAGTTACAAAAAAAATTAATAAAAACTATACCAATGTCGTAGAATGCCAAAATCAAAGAAATGAACTTGAAGACTAGATTATTCGCCAAACCATATTCTGTGCCATTTGATCAACCCTCATGACCACGTAGATTTCATATAATGAAAAGAACTTTTTTTTTTGCAAAACTTTTTTTTTATTCGCACGCGCGCATCAGTTTTGGGGCTCCCGGAGGATGTCATCCATATAATCAAATCAACATGGCCTAACTAAAACGCTTGAAGCAAAGAAGTATAGTCATGGAATCTAACCTTTCCGATCCCGTACACTCCGGTAGATGTGGGTCCAGTGGTATTTAATTTGTAACCTGTCCTTGTGGCCTCCGTCTGGAAGACATAAACTGAGATATTTATACATACATTCATATTCCAACATGGATATGATAAATAATATACAAGCCCATATTGGTTTCAAAATCTTACACCTCAAAAATTATCTGCACATTTTTAAGTCCTTATTTCATTCTATGGTCCAAACGGAATCTGGTAGTTGACTAGGGTACATGAAATGACATTACAGTTTTTTTGCGTACGTCAAAGTTTACTGGGCGACTGTTCACCAACATAACCTGAGTTTGAACATTTTTTTTTGTGCTTATTCTTGCCCAGAAGGGCTAAACGCACATGTGACTAAATCTATTTATGGTCTAGGAGACACAAAACATAATATTGAACATTGAATGCTATATTCAACTCTACGTATTGACTTTCAATATGTTACATTTATACTATATCGCTTGGCGTTTATCGTTAACCCTACCTAGACCGGGGGGGGGGGACTAAAAGTGCCCGCGGCAACTTTGATGTCACCTAGCGTCTGAACGGCTAGCCGTAGAACGGCCAAACTTCGTGACTTTTCCTAGAATATTGATGGCAACAATTCTCTATCATTGGAATAAGATAATAATTTTTGTGTTGCCATTGCAACGGGTTTCTGACAGGCATTTTTTGCTAAATTTAGTACTTTTTGTTTCAACAATAGAATTTTATGGGTTTTATGTCAAGTTACTCAAGGTTTCTAATATTAATAACATCCCATATAATTTTATGTAAATTTTATCATTAAATATGCATAATTTATGCTAATTTGATGACGTCATTGGCCAAAATCCAAGATGGCGGACCATATCATTAGAACAGGTATATACAGGTTATTTTCATTAAAATTTCATCAATACTTCCATTTCTTTTTCCAAAAAAGGTTTAAATGAAGGTCTTTAGTATGTTTACAATGTATTTTAGGCTTTATCATGAAAAAAAACTATTTTTGAAAATTCAAGATTGATGATCCAAGATGGCGGATATCTTAAATATGCATGACGTCATGTTATGACGTAACCGGTGTTGCTGTGGGCAACATAAGACTTAGTACACCCTAATATTCTGTCATAAACACTTTTGGTACAGTTATGTTGAATACCATTTAGTTTTCAGGGAAAAACCTATTTAGACGGTTTTGGCCAATAAAATCACATTAATGACGTCATAATGACGTCATATTACGTCATAATGACATAAAAATTGTAGATATGATAAATTTTTACTAGTACACCATTCTCTGAAAATTTGGTGGTCATACGACATACCGTTCGCGAGTTCTTAGGGGGGGGGAAGAAAAGAGCCCCCCCCGGTCCCCCCATGTCAAAAAAAGCCCGGTCTAGGTAGGGTTAAAGTAAAAGGTGTGTTTCGTTCTCATCGTAAAAATGATTACAGGATTCGCATGTTCTATGACCATTTAGAGGGGTACAGCTATGCCCGCCAGATATTATACGTAAAGAATGGTAACTAATGCAAAATTTACACATGGGCCTGAGATGTTCGAAGTCTGTTCAATGCTTAGATACGTTTCTCCTTCATAAATCTCTTAGAATGTTTTGCATGTCCTTAGTTTGTTGCCTTTGTTTTTTCTTCGTTCATTACATAAGAACGTCGTTTCTCTTTTTTATACTCTTCTCTGTCTTTTTATGAATGTTGCGAGGTCAGTAGCAATAATAACGTCGCATTATTATTTTTTGTTTGTTTGTTTGAGCCTTTATTTCAACTCGATCTGTAATTGTGTTACATGCTTTAATCGGCCGCTATTTCGGCCGCTTTTCATAGAGGTCGAGCGTGGAGGAGTGTCAGGGGGTCATAACATAAATACTACTTGCTCAAAAATGAAAACAAAGTAATAATGTTTATACACAAGGTAACTCACACAAAGTAAATAAATAAACAAAATGGCAATAAGTAATAAATAACTCATTAGTCGTTGTGTTCAAAGTCGTTCAGTCAAAGTCAGTTACGGTACTAGCAGTCTTTTAAAGGTTCTAAGAGTAGGTGCTGCTCTAACATTGCACATTGATGTCTTGTTGCCAGGCGCGCGTACGAAAAGATGGGATCAGCAACGCCAAAAGGGAGAACACACATCTACAGAGATAAGCCCCACTGGCTGCGGTCACATTCCGGGCACAGCATGGTTATGTAACCTTCAAGCAGATGTAAGATTTGCCTTAGTTTTTTTTAATCGCCTTATTTAAATGCGTTTCTGTGTTTTATAATGATCCGAGTTTTGCCTTTTTTGCCCACCCTAAAGAGATAACATCGTGGATGACTCGAAAGATAAAGAAAAATGCATTAAAAATTTAGAAAATCATCCTAATTCTCGCCATCTGCTTGATGATAATACTCTATGTATGTACACAGAGTAAAATCGTGCCCCCACTTGAAATAACGTAGCTTAACTACCAGAAGTAAGATTAGTTTCAGAGGAAGTGTTGTACCTATACATACTGTTACAGCCGGGAAGAACTTATACCATACCTTTAACATCAGTGTATCTGCCGGAAGGTCCTCAACGTCGAAAATCCGCCTGTGAAAGATGGGTTTCTTGGAGCGCCGCTTGCCCATAGCTGTTGTTATTGAGTTGGATAGTCGGTCTATCTCCAATTATCTTTTGTAATTATAATGGAAAGTAAGAGGTCAGTGTTGGAGTCGAACAGAAAACCAACCTGAATCACCAAGGTCTTCTGGATACTGTGTTCGTTTGGACAATACGTGACGCTCGGGTAGGGGGTCTTTTCCAAACGGAGATGTCCCTCGGCTTTCCTTGTACCCAAATTCGCCCGTAAAGAATATTTCACCCTGTCACTACATACCTTATAGATTGTAGCTTACTAGGCAGTTGTTACATATTAGGAAAGTTCATTAGGCAAGGTATAATTTATCATGTATCCATGTTTGGAAAGAGATATCAGTTTGCGTCAGACTTAACCAAACGCATCAATTCTGCCCCTTTGTCTTGGTTTCCTAGAAGCAGAAAACAAACTCAGGTGTTTTTCTGAAGCCACAAATGCTGTTTAACGTTGGACATAGATAACAAAAAATATGTAACATTTATCGTATTTTAAACTCTCATGTAAACCAATGAACTATGCAGTTTCCTTTAAAAAACATTTTGCCTTTATTGTGATGGAAAGCAGTTAGATATCAAAATGTTTTTAAAACTGTTAAACAAACGATTTCTGGATATCTTTGCATCTACCAAATTTAAATATTTTCCATAATGATAGAAGTGGTTTACATTATTCCATGAGAAGATGGTACTGCTCTTGAGATACCACTTATAGTGACGGTCTTGGCTAGTTAACTAATTCTGTGTGGCATATCATTTTGCAAGTCTTAGGTTCAAAATCCCTGGCCAAAACCTTTTCCTGCTACCATTTTTTCGGATTTCTTACCCAAGGGTTGTATTTGTGTCTGCATACTCAGTATAACTTGTGTAGAAAACACCTTCAACTGACTACGGTGAGAGAAGCTGGCAAAATTACACCCACTTGTCGGTCCCGGAAACTGCCCAGCTGATAATTGTGACCGGCTTAGCATGAACTTTGTGCATCCAACTGTAAGCGTTGTTTTAAGCTATCTAGTGATGATGCTCCCATGGTCTGTACTTGGTGGCAGATAGTCCTACTTTACGTGATATATCTGTTTGTCCGGTCAAGGGGTCAAGAGTTGAGGCCGGGTGGTCCTAAGGTCAACCTGATCTTATACGGAAGCCATTAATAACAAACATCTGTCTTCTCAAAACCCAGGATTCCGATGGACAGTTGATCCCGCCCCGGCTCCATGTTGGCGGCAGTGTGAATATGGTCAAGCAGAACACAGTAATCATCCGCGACCCCCGGACTCTATTACGTAGGGTACAGAAAATAGTACGGACGAAATCTTGTAGCGTTTGTATACATTTTAAAATGAAAGGCAGCGAGGCATGAACTTTACCGTATGGTAGTATAATGAGTCGACTTTTCGATCGTATGAGTAGGATTCTTAAGTTTGCTCGTTGAGTGTATAAATGCGCCTGTCTTACGCAACTGCCTTCCAGGGTGAGTCGGCTGCAGTTCCGTTGACCCCGGTAGAGGGCCAAATAAAAGAGGGCGTCATAATGTTAAAAAACCATAACTTTTTTTTGTTTTCAGTCATTTTGCAGGTTATACCCTAAATTTCAACATATTAGTTGGTCGTGTTCCTAAAGTGCACCCTACTATAATTTTTACTGCGTCCAAGTGAGTCACCTTGGGGGCCTTAACTATAGAAATCCCCATAGGGCGAAAACTGTGTTCTGCCACCTCAATTTCTGATAGCCAAAAGCAACAATGGCAGATTTGTAATAGTTTAACAGAATAAAGCCGCTTCTCATGACTATGTAAAAGTCTTTCTCGCTACACAAAGTGGCACATTGTTCTTTAAGCCTAGCCTTCTTTGCAGGCGTTCTGTGGGAGCGGTCAAAGTTCCTAGTTTTCAAGAATATATACTAGGGAATAAAAAAATATATAAAATATAAAATAAAAAAACACATAGGTAAATGGGGAAAAATACTGAAACGCTGAAAACATTGTAGAGAAAACTTTTGTCTGTTATTCAAATATGTAATCATTATTCATTGTTTTCTGGTTTTATTTATCTTTTTCTGTGTTCTACATGTCCCTTCAGTATAAGTTTTTCGCAAGTGTGTGTATCTTATGTTTGTGAAAATCAATAAAAAGAATGATTATAAAAAAAAAAGAATATATACTAGGGATGGCGGCCAGAAGTCTAAGCGTGTTATAACTAGATACCATCAGACCCCCCCCCTCCCAAAAAAGAAGGACCTCTCCTGAAACGCCTGCAAATGAGGCTACTTAATACCTCCACCAAGAAGGTTCCACATGTTTTTGGTTGTGTTTGTTTTCGGTGGTTTGCATTTATGTTTGTTTCGATGTTTGTGGATTTGCACGATATAACTCAAGAAGTATCAATCATTCAAGCCGCAAGCATCAGGGTAGATGCATGGCGCCTGTAGCCATGTCCAGGCCCTGCAGGATGTTCTGTTTTCACCCAGCACTCTGCAGTCAGTTCTGCTGACCCCTAAACTGTCCAGCACGTTGAAAACCTTGTCCTCCCATCTGCTCCTGGGACGGCCTCTAGGGCGCCTCCAAATTGGATCTGGAGCTGTGGTGATCAGTTTGATAACTTCCTGGGTGGGTGTAGCTCTAGAGATGTGACCCAGGAGGTTTAGCTGTTTAGAAGTATCGAGTGCCATGAAATCTAAACTACCCCGCTCTAGCCGCTCGCAGAAACATACGTAACGCTGCCAGCTTCGATGGTCTGTACTGGAAAATAAGACTTTCAAACTATGGATGCTTGTGATACTTGGGTAGAGAAGATCATCAAATGATACAATCTATGCAACTGAGGGCCGTTTAAGCAATACATGAAAGGTTAACATCATTAGACGAATTAAGGTATGGGATCGGGGAGCTCTAGTCACGGTGTTCTACAGAACGTCATTATAACTCAATCAAAATGAAAGCAATGCCCCCCTCCCCAAAATCATAAGTAAAATGAGCTGAATGGCAGTTCCCCAGTCATTTATCATAGGTCAGTTTTGGCTTACACAACTTAATTTTTTTTCAATTCCATTTGGTCATTGACGACCTTGTGCTAAAGGCGGCCATCTTTTTCAATGACCCTGCAGAGGTCAGACGATATGAGGCCGCAACAGCCGCTGCGGGTTTTCGTCTCGTTAAGGTTGCAGTACACAGTATTAATGATATGATATGAATCTTTATTGCATGTTCTTTCCCAGATGGGCTAAATGCACAAGAGGATGTCCAGTATGTAAAACATGGGTATTTCATACTGGTACGCTGTATTCTAATGCAAAGTGCTAGGAATCTAACGGGGGGTGCCCTAATTCCGACCCATCCCTAATACCGAACTAGTTTGAAAAAATCCTTGTTGCGGCGTTATGCATGGGAGCACGTGCCTAAAAATAATCACAAGAATGGACTATGTTTTTGTGTTGATATCGGCAATCTCAGAAAGTTTGTTTTAGTTCCTACACTCCGACAACAGACGAGTGAAAAATATGTGTGAATTCGACGCTTGTTCGGGGGTTGACGAGCGTGTCAAAAATGCAGGTTTTGCTTTTCAAACAGCCACTTTGGAGCAAGTCGCGTAATCGTAAAAAGAGGACTTGTTTGGGACAGAAAACATTTGTAGATTGTTTTAGTCATAATTTGTGTATTATCATTTCTAAACTCTCTTCTCATATCGACCTGTGTTAAACACTAGGTCGGAATTAGGGCACCCCTGTTGCGATAGAACGTTCCACCGGCAAAATGACAAAAAAACTGCCGTGCGTTTCGTGAACCATTACGATTGGGTGCAAGCCGCTACACTCAAGTGAAATACACAGCTGTGCAGTTTTAATCGTTGTGATCTTTATCTGTCAATATTATATCTCATGTTGCGCGGGTTTTTGGTCAGATAAACTATTACCAAAGGTCTGTGCGTTTGCATGGAACATAGCACGGAATTAGGGCACCCCCCGTTATACATTACAATAATACTATATACATTGTACACCCTATCATCTACTGTTAGTTGCCCTTTCTTCTCTCTTTTTGAAACATTTGGAAACATAATTACATAGTTTGTCTACTGTAAATTCGTTCTTGCATGATATCAAGTGTTTAACCCTAAACAGTACACCTGGGGTCCGCGAGGACCCCAGCACTATATATTCTGTGGTATCTTTTTTGTTTCTAAAGATTTTTTTCTGAAATTTTTGGTAATTGTCACCCACAAAGTTGTCTCTCAGTACAGTGCAGAAAACTCCGTTTCTACCATTCTTAAAAAAAATTATATCTGATTTTCTTTTGGGGTCCGCGCGGACCCCAGCCGGCTTTCGATCATAATGGATACACTGGCGTTCTTATACATTACCTTATTTCCGTTTTTATATGTTTTTATGCACTCATCTTATGTCTACCAAGTTTTCAGAGAATGGTGTAGTAATAGAATTAAATTTTAATAACTTTGGTGTAATTATGACGTCATATGACGTCAGAGCTAATAATATAGTCCGCCATATTGGATTTTGACCAATAACGTCATCAAATTAGCATATTCTATGCATATGAAATGATTTAACTTATATTTAATTATGTAAGATGTTATTAATGTTGGAAAAGAAGTGTAATTTAATATAAAACTCAGAAAATTTTTATGTTTAAACCAAAATTACTTCTATTTTGAAAAATAGAAACCCGTTGCCATGGCAACACAAAAAAACATCAACTTTCTTGTATCAAACTAATATGAACTTTTTTCCAGAGACATTTTAGGAAAGGTCTCCAAATTTGATACTTCTAGCGCAAGCCGTTTAGCCGCTATCTGAGATCAAAGTTGGGCCTCAAAAGCCCCTACAGTCTGAAATGGGTTTAAAAATCGGGTATTTCTTCTTGTCTTCTTTTCTTCACCAAAAAATAGAAAAAGTTCAAAATGTATGATTTTTGTTTGTAATGTGGACACAGAGGTTCCCACATCAGTTTGCAAAACAATTGAGCTGGTAGCATGTTGATAATTTCTAAAAATTAGCAAAAAACTGCTCTGGGGTCCGCGCGGACCCCAGGTGTACAGATTAATCAGTCCGGGAAGGTGTACT